CCATAAATCAATATCAACAAGGGCACTACCGAGGTACCGCCTCGTAGTCCCAAATCATAAATCAATTCACAATATCTCATTTCTTTATATCACCGCGGGAGCCTTCACAATTTATTTAAAGAAAATATTTTTTCCGAAATAGCATCCCGCGTTTTAGCCACCCTTATCACACCGCATGACTTCTAGTAGTTACCCCTACTAGCCACGCGTATCAAGTCACCCTTATCTCACCGCATGCGTTTCAATACCCGTACCTTATACCACCGCATGCGTATCAATATCACAATATATCATAATTTGCACCTCAAGTGCCCAATATTTCAATTTTCCAAAAATAAATCAACAACGATATTTTTCAATAATAAAGAGCTCACGGCTCCATCACAATGAGTACCAAAAAATCTTACGAAAATATTCAGGAATAAATAATTCAGGAAAATAATATTTCAAAATCTTTAATACATTACTTCAATATCAAATTTAAAAATGTCAAATACTTCATATTAATAATGTTTAATTTAAAGAAAATCAACCTTCAAATAATGCACAGTATAAAAGAAATCAAGTTTCAATTAAACAGGTAAAACAATTAGCAAGAAAAGGTCAAACAAATTTAAAGTATATATCTCACATCAACGATGAAGAATATATAACAAGATAAAATAATTTAATAAATGCGCAACAATGATCTACACAATTTAAAAATATAATCTTTCACATTTAGCCAGTGTACACACTCGTCACCTCATGTACACGACTTTCAACATATTTCAATAATCACTTTAATATCAATTATAGGGGAAATTTTCCCCACACAAGGTTAGACAAGTCACTTACCTCGACTTGCTCCAATTTAACCAAGTAGTATGCTTTTTCCTCGATTTTTTGATTCTGATTGACTCGTATATAGTCATAATTAATTCGATAGAGTCAACAAAAATTATAGAATCAATTCCATAAGAAAATACTATATTTTTTCAATAAAATCCGAAATTAACTCAAAAATGGCCCGTGGGGCCCACATCTCAGAAATCGGCGAAAGTTACGAAATATGAACGCCCATTCAACTACGAGTCCAACCATACCATTTTTACAAAAATCCGACATCAACTTGACCTCCAAATCTCAAATTCTCATTTTGAAATCCTTAGGCTTAAATCCTCTAATTTCACCTCAAAAACATGTAATCTATTCGAAATATTCAATGATAATCTAATATAATTCACTAACAATGATCACATGTGACTTACCTCAAATTTTCCCATGAATTCTCTCTGAAGAATCGCCCAAAACCGTGTTGAAAATGTCCAAATGACAAAAATATCGGAACCCCTCTGTTTTTGTAATCTGATCAGCCCTTCGTCCGCTTCTGCGAGCCACAGCTCGCTTGTGCGAGTCCGCACCTGCGGTCAGTCCCTCCACAGGTGCGAAAAATTCCATCGCACCTGCGGACCTGCCCGCACCTATGCCCTTCCTCTCGCTTCTGCGCAAGCGCTTCTGCGCAACATGAGCCGCATTTGCGGCTCCAACTGGGCAGCCCTCCGTCCGCTTCTGCGAGCCACAGCTCGCTTCTGCGAGTCCGCACCTGCAGTCAGTCCCTCCGCAGGTGCGATGACACAAGAAGCTGTAAATTTCAGAATTTGCCTAAGTCCAAATATTGATCCGTTAACCATCCGAAACTCACCCGAGGCCCCCGGGACCTCAACCAAATGTACCAACAAGTCCTAAAACATCATACAAACTTAATCGAGCCTTCAAGTCACATCCAACAATACTAAAACACGAATCACACATAGATTCAAGCCTAATGAACTTTGAAATTTTAAATTTCTATAAATGACTGCAGAACCTATCAAATCACGTTCGATTTACTTCGAATTTTGCGCACAAGTCATAAATGACATGACGGAGGTTTTCAAATTTTCAGAATCGGATTTCGACCCCGATATCAAAAAGTCAACCCCTCGGTCAAACTTTCCAAAAATTCAACTTTCAGCATTTCAAGCCTAATTCCACTACGGACTTTCAAATAAAATTTCGATCACGCTCCTCAGTCCAAAATCATCATACGAAGCTGTTGGAATCATCAAAATTCTATTCCGGGGTCGTTTGCACATAATTCGACATACGATCACTGTTTGAACTTAAACTTTTAATTTTTTATCAAAATTCCATATCTCGGGCTAGGGACCACGGAATTTGATTCCGGACATACGCTCAAGTCCCAATTCATGATACGGACCTACCGGAACTGTCAAAATACTGATCCGAGTCCGTTTGCTCAAAATGTTGACCAACGTCAACTTAGTTAAATTTTAAAGCTCTAATTCATATTTTAATCCATTTTTTACATTAAAATTTTCCAAAAAATTTTACGGACTGCGCACGCAAGTCGAGAAATGATAAATAGTACTTTTTAAGGTCTTAGAATACAGAATAAATTATTAAACTTAAATATGATATTTTGGCTCATCACACCCTTTTAGATTTAAGTTTGGCCCTGTAACTAACAACAGCTTCACCTCTCTTTTGGACACTTGGCTTATTTTCTGAGCTATTAAGGTAGATTACAAGATCGAGAAATTTTATACTTTAAAAGGAATAATTGAATTTTTTTTGAAATTACAGATTTATTCCACTATTGTTGTGTACTTCATATTTGTTATGAATTATAATGTTATTTATTTGGACCTCTAGTAAGTATTGATGTCGACCCCTCGTCACTACTTCTGCGGGGTTATGCTAGATATTTACTGAGTTCGCGTTGATTTACGTACTCATGCAGCACTTCTGCACTAAATATGCAGGAATTGACAAGTCCATTTAGTGATCATCTTGGCATGTAGGCGCACCTGTTAAGGAAACTTTATGTGAGTTGTATTCCAGGCTACATATCGCAGTCCACTGAGTCTCCATTGTATCTTTTTTTGTCCTGTCTTATTATATTCGGGATAGATAATGTATTATTGTTGTACTCCTTAGAAGAATGCTCATGCACTTGTGACACCTGATTTTGGGAGTTCCTTCAGGTTATTCATTTACTCTATAAATACTCTACAAATATTGAGACCGTTGGTTTTGGGATTTATAAATATTGAGTTATTCATACCTCACAATCACTCATGTCTTCAGGTTTTGGGAGTTCGTGTAGATAATTTCATTTACTATATAAATACTATTTTATACTATTTAATTAAGGAATATTATGGTTTCAAAATAGTAAAATAAGTAACTAAATTGGTAATTCACCGTTGGCTTGCCTAACGGTGGTGTTAGGCGCCATCACGACCTATAGTGAATTTTTGGGTTTGACAGTCACTAACACAATTGAGACCAGAAACTACTACAAACTCCCTGATTGAAAAGCATAATGTTGTACTATCCACATATATTAAAATTGAATCAATAGGACTTTCTTCCAGTTGTAGAACCATGAAGCACCTGCACAATTGATGTTGATCCTCACAGTGCTTCATATTGAGGAAACTTCCAAAACAAGTAGTACCAAATAATTTGTATTGATCTGGAGTAAGCTTTTCTTTGAGGTCGGAGATTATGTCTGATATGCGGTGATAAAATAGGCGGGTGTTTAACAAAGAGTTTTATTTCCTGCATACAAAAAAAATTAAAAAGATAAAATATATGTTTGAAAATATAGTACAATTATGTTGAATACATAACTTATTGATGAAATACAACATAATGCACTGATAATTACCACAAAAACTGTGAGTTATGGCAATGACTGTTGTTTTAAATACATCAGAATACAATTGGCTTGAGAATACATATGAATACAGTTAGGGTGAATACATAACTAAATACAGAACAACTAGCGTATTTAAAAACATTGTTGAATGAACTAAAATACATATAAATACAGAACTACAACAGTCAAAAATTACTATAAAAAGTAAATATCAGTGTAGGCAATATCAAATACATATAAATATATCTACATACAAGAAGAGACAACCATTGTACAAGCTAATAATTAATGTATGCGAACTAAAATACATATAAATAATGCATCTACAATTACCTTGTCGTTCTGTGTTTCCGAGCTAGTTCCTTTATCGACCTATTTTCCCTTGCTCCACGAAGCATCATCCATGAGTTTTCTTCTCTTTTCCACATCAGGAAGTGTTGATTTTTTCGAAGATTTCTCAACTTGACCTTGTTTCATAGGGTTATTGTGTATTTTTGTTCTCCTTTCGGCTTCAGTGGTTGCTGATGAACCTAAAAATACAGGTTCCGCTTGAGTGAATTGTAAATCGAAAGATGGCCCATCAAAATTTAGTGCTTTAGTGGGTATACCTCTGGTAACCCTCTTATGAGTTTTTGAATCAGCCATTGAAGAGGAAATTTCAAGTTTTCTAGTGAAAACTAAACAATGGTGAATATTTTAAAAAAATATTAAAGAGAAAAAGAAGAAGTTTTAACCGGCCAAAAGCTAAAAACTTTAACACTTACCACAACTTTTTGGAGCAAAAAATATTGTAAATTGAGGAAGACAATGGCGCTGATAAAGGAGAATCGTGGTTCAACAACGGGGAGGACAATGGTGCTGTGAGAGAGAGATCGTTGAGAGAGAAATAAGATATTGTACGGTAATTTTGTGAGAGAATAAACTGAAAGAATGTGAGAGAAAAATATTAGACACCGTATTTAATGGCTTAACGGTTGAAGGTGATCATAAATACATATTTTGCTATAAAAACTAAAAAATAGCTATAAAAAATAATATTTTAAAAGGATTTTTATGTATAATAAATATGGTATAAAGCTTTGATATATGTGGTAAAATTTCCTTTTAAATACTCCTACCTAATAAAATTTTAAGTAAAACAAAGAAAACGACAAAGCCTCGAAAATAATTGAGGAAAATAATCAATGACTTTTCTCATTCTCTATCAGCTTATATCATCGGAGACCATTGACGCAAACAAGGGAAATAACCATTGACTTGAAGTCAACTGATTTCTCATTATCTTCTCTCATTGGCCAACACATCAGATATTTTCGATTATCTGTATTACTATATAATATTTGATCTGATCGCTCTTATAAATTTGCAGGCATCATTCAGGCGAAACAAGAGAACCAACAAAGAAGAAACAGCCAAATCAAAAAAGGTCATTTTTTGCAATTTTCTCGTTATATGCTAAACATATAAAAAAGTATATTCTTTGCTACTTCAAGTTGAATGACATGACACATAGATATAGTGTTTGGTGTTTTTTAGAGGCCAAAAGTATTTTTTTATTAATTTAAAAAAGCACTTACTTCACATAATGAAAGTGTTTGGTCAAGTTTATGGCAAATAAATAAGTGTTTTTAAGTAGTAACAAATTCTTCTCTCATTATTGGCCAACAATATTTTGTGTTGAAAGGCCAAAACAAGTCACATATCATATATTTTCAATTATCTGTATTATATAATATGAGTATTTGATTTGATTCCTCTTATAAATTTGCAGGCCAGCTCCCATCATTTTAGGAGAAGCAAGAGAACCAACGAAAGAAGGAACACCCAAACCAAAAAAGGTCATTTTCTTTTTTGCAATTTTCTCGTTATATGCTAAACATATAAATAAAGTATAATATTTGCTACTTCAAGTTGATTGACATGACACATAGATTCTTTGGTCAAGTTTTCTAAAGACCAAAAGTACTTTTTTATTTATTTTAAAAAGCACTTAGTTTAGAGAATAAAAGTGTTTGGCGAAGTTTACGGCGAATAAAGTGTTTAAGTAGTAACAAATTGTTTTTAGTTTTTAAGCAGAAGCGAAAATAGTTTCTCCAAAATAAGTGTATTTTTGATTGATTTTTAGAACAAGATTACCCATATGAAAAATTCATCATTACTAAATTAATTAGTAGTAGTAACTTCCTTTTTCATATTTTCGAGCTGCCATTTTCCTTTTCATATAATTTGGCGATTAAAAGTACTTTTTAGTACTTCTAAAATGATTTATCCAAGCTACTACTACTCTCAAATCACCTTTTTTGACAAGCAATTTTGAATAAAAATACTTCTCAAAATAAGTAGATTGGCAGCTTAGCCAAATAAACCATTGATGGATATATTTCGTTTAATAATTTTATTATGGATATGAGACTCTTGTTCTATCAAGACTCAAAATCTCACATGTCGTGATGACGCCTATCTCAATAATAGGCAAGCCGACAATCTCAATTAATCACCATATCTATTAAATTTGAAAGCTGTCACGACCCAAAATCCAACTAGTCGTGATGGCACCTAACCCAACCCGTTAGCTAAGCCGATTACTAACTATCCAATTTGAATAATAATTATTAAAGAAATTTAAGTGAATAAAGGTCTTAATCGTGTACAATCCCCAAAAACTGGTAGTACAAATCATGACCCTCTAAGAATAGAGTATACAAAGCGGAAATGAAATAAATACATAGTCTATTTGAATAATGCATAAACAGAGCTTTTATAAATCTAAGGCTACCCTGAACAAAAGGCAGCTACAACAGAAACACAGGTACATCTCCAAGTCCCGCAACCATCGAGCACAGCAACAACAACAACCAACATCTGCATGCAATGTGCAGAAGTGTAGTATCAGTACAACCAACCTCATGTACTGAGTAAGTAACAAACCTATCCGTAGGTTGAAAGTAGTGACGAGCTTCTACTAAGGTCGGGTCCAAAACCAATAGTCCACAACAGTCCATAATAGCATAAAGCAAATAAAACCAGAAGTAACTCGGAGATAAAATGCTCAGCCAAATCATGATTTCAAAAAAATAATAGTTCTTCCTTTCAAATACATCAATGAAAACCCAAATCGTTTGTCGGAGTTGCCAAAAATATGAATAGTTTGAAAATAATAAATTTCTCCCAAAATCTTGTCAATAATAAATAAGATGTTTCATTTTCCTTTCGGATAACTCGTGTAAAAACAAATGCATCACTATGCCCATCTGTCAAAAATGTGTGATAAATCATGAATGATGTGATGTTGTACAACATGAGGAAATTACATCTCTATGCATGTATGTCATGTGTGCATGCCAATGCGATGCAACTCAATGATAAAATCATAAACAGCCCCTCGGGCAGAACATCACTCATATACAGTCCATCGGGCAAACCTCACAGTAACTCGTGCCACTCGGGCATACATCACAATCACTCTTGTCACTCGGGCATACCTCACAATTACTCTTGCCACTCGGGCATACCTCACAATTACTCTTGCCACTCGGGCATACCTCACAATCACTCATGCCTCCCAATCACTCAGCAGTCGGCACTCGGCACTCGCACTCAGTAGGTACCTGCGCTCACTGGGGGTGTGTACAGACTCCGGAGGGGCTCCTTCAGCCCAAGCGCTAATAATCTGCACGGACAACTCACATGCTGCACGGACAACTCACGTGCTATAATAATAAAGTATGTTGCAGGCGGGCAGCCCCGATCCACCCTCATCCTCACAAATCAGGCAATCGGCCTCACTTAGTCATAAGTATGCTGCAGGAGGGCAGCCCCAATCCACACTCATCCTCACAAATCAGGCCCTCGGCCTCACTCAGTCATAAATATCTCAAGCCACTCGAGCATTTCAGTAAAACAAGGCATTCAGCCCAAAACATTTATATGCATCAAAATAGAGTCGTAAAACTGAGTTATGATATGCAATGAAATGAATATGACTGAGTATGAACTTTTAATTTAACACAATAATTCACAGCAATATGACCTTTGTGGGTCCCAATAATACTGGCACATAGTCTCAACGAGATTTTTAATATGCTTTTCAGCTCAATTTCTTTAACACATAAAACCGCATGGAGAAATGTCAAGGTTATTTAAATATAAAATTCCACGGAAATAATTTTGTCACAATTCCTATAGTGCACGCCCACACGCCCGTCACCTAGCATATGCGTCACCTCCCAACAATTCACAAAATACATATATTCAGGGTTTATACCCTCAACTCCAAGATTAGAAGAGTTACTTACCTCGAACAAGCCGAATCCAATGTCGAGCAAGCTAAACAATGCTCCAGAAATCCCATTATGCGCGTATCAACTCCCGAACGGCTCGAATCTACCACAATTAAATTGATTCAATCCACATAATTTATAGGAATTAATTCCATATCAAAATGCTAACATTTTCACAAAATCCGAAATTATGCCCCAAAAATTACAAGTAGGGCCCACGTCTCGAAATCCGACGAAGGTTACAAAATATTAATGCCGATTCAACCACGAGTTCAACCATATAAATTTTACTCAAATCCGACATCAACTCGACCCTCAAATCTCCAAATTAAACCAAGAGAATTTTCACAAATTTTTCAACTTAATTCACCAATTACATGTTAAACACAACCATGAATTCGGGTAATTTAACCAATTTAACAAATGTCGCATTTTCTGAACTTAAACTTTCTATCCAGACATCTCTTTTTCGCGAAAGCGACAGGTCCCTCGCGTTCGCGAAGCACAAAATGTGCTTCCCAACATTTGCTCTTCGCGAACGCGAGACACTGCTCGCGAACGCGATGCTTTACGGATCCCTTCTTCTCGAACGCGAGCTCCCCTTCGCGAACACGAAGGTAAAAACCCGCGCCCACTATGTTTCCCTTCGCTAACGCGATACCCCATACGCAAACGCGATGTATAACCCATCTTCTCTCCGGAACGCGAGACCCCTTCGCGAACGGGAAGAGTAAATCCTGCCAGCCACAAATTTCTCTTCGCGAACGTGAGGGCCCACTCGCGAACGCGAAAGAGAAAATCCGAAAAATGCAGCAACAAATATTACCATTGTCACCAAAGCCAAAAATGATCCGTTAACCATCCAAAACTCACCCGAGTCCCTCGGGATCTCGACCAAATATACCAACAAGTCCTAAAACATCATACGGACTTAGTCGAACCCTCAAATCACCTCAAACAACGCTAAAACTATGAATTACACCCCATTTCAAGCCTAATGAACTTTGAAATTTCTAGTTTCTACAAACGACTCCGGAACCTATCAAATCGCGTCCGATTGACCTCAAATTTTGCATGCAAGTCACATTTCACATTACAGACCTATTCCAATTTTCAGAATCGGATTCCGACCTCGATATCAAAAAGTCAACCCCCCGGTCAAACTTTTCAAAAATTCCACTTTCGGCAATTCAAGCCAAATTCCACTACGGACTTTCAAATAATTTTCCGGACACGCTCCTAAGTCCAAAATTACCATACGGAGCTATTGGAATCATAAAAATTCGAATCCGAGGTTGTTTACACATAAGTCGACATCCGGTCACTATTCTAACTTAAGCTTTAAACCTTGAAACTAAGTGTTCCAATTCATTCTGAAACCCTCACAGGAACCAAACCAATTACCCCGACAAGTCACACAATAACTGTAAAGTACAATTTGAGCAGTAAAGGGGGAAGCAAGGTTGTAATACTCAACACGACCGGCCGGGCCGTTACATTCTCCCCCACTTAAACATACGTTCGTCCTCGTATGTGCCAAGACTTGTTTCCAAGCCATCAAATCACCGTTCCATTTTACCACACACGTACCCGGAGGTGAACCCACGACACCCTATCCCACATAGGCTTGACTACACAATACAATTGAAATCATTAATTTAACCTTAGCCCATAAACCTTGGAGTTTAATTTCCAACCTTTAGAATTTCTTTCAAGACACCAATCTTACATTTACACACCATGTAAGTACGAACAAGTTGCATCGAGCTATAACTATAACCGCGGATATAATCAACCAACATATTACACAACTCGCCTGCTCATAGCACCATTCCTGATCACAGTGACTACTCCAAAACCAACCGCATACTAGTATTAAACCTATATCGATCCAAACATCATCCCAAAACCTTCGTACACTGTTGATAATAAAAGAAACACACAAAATCTCGTAACCCCTTATCAGACCAGAAAGTCATGGAGATCTCTCGCCCTAACCGGAACCATAATCCTCTTGAATGTACCATAATCCAGCCTGATGGTACCCATTCTAGGTCCAATGACCTTATTTTACTAGACACAACTATTCCACAGACATGCCGCATCAATATAATTCCAGCCACCATTGCGCAATCTGCGTACCCAAATATGGGAGATGTCTCAAGGAAGAGATTCGTATTACAAGTTCAACAAGCACTACCACAGCCGCAATGTTACAACCAATTCCTCAAATTTCGTGAAGCCATAGGCGCATGTGCACAATTGTGGAGGAAGGAAATTAATGAATCAGATAAATTATCATAGAAATAAAATTCCCTCATACGGCACGGACAACTCATGTGCCAATAATATGAATCGCCCGGCATGATCACGGGCCTCCAGTCCCAGCATATCATACATGAGCAATTAAACAAATACACTTTTATATGATAATGAAATAATATTCTCATGCTCCTGGACTGGTATAAATAACACGCCATAGTGTAAGCATGTGCAAAGTTTGCTATCACACTTCAAATTGGCAATTTTACGCAGAATTAGTAACTACCCTGTTTATT